GCTGGCCCGCTCTCCCCCATGGCTGCTGAGCTCCTGCTCCGGACTTGAGGGTGCCCCGCCCCACCCCGAGGCCTCCTGTCCCCTCCCGGCCTGTCCTGCCACCCAGACCCTGACTCTGGTTAGCTGCCACGGGAAACCCCTTGTGAAATATATATAAGTCTTGTTCTGGCCTCTGGCGTGGGCTGCCGGGAACATCTCTTTCCTCCGTGGAACTCCATGGAGGAGACAGCAAGCCCTCACTGCTTCTCCCACTAGCCGGCAGGGGCAGGGAAGGGTAGGCAGGGCCTACGTCCAGGACCGACCCCAGAGAGAACCGGAGAAGCGGAGAGGAGGCCCGGCGAGTGAGTCGGCGAGCTCTCTGTGGACTCCCTCTGCTAGCTTGTTTTATTCGTTGTTTTCTATTTCTTTCTCCTGTGTGTTAGGTTATAGCACATTCGTAGATATTCAAAAATGCCTGATGGATTGCAAAATAAACTATCACAGCTGACAAAGCTGAATGAATATCACTTTCAGATACATAGCAGCCCAATTTATACATCAGAGCCTGCTATTATTAAGTCAAACAATGGGGGGAAGAGGTATTTCAAATATGTTAGATCCATCAAAAATAGTAGTAGAAGACTCTGTACCCACGAGGTGCTTGAAATGTTGTTGGGGAGGGAATACACGTTTACAATTAGTGAACCAGGTAATAACAGCACCTGGTATGGGGATGTGTCCGGGACGATTCTGACAAAATGCCACACGGCAGGTCACTCTTGCCCGGAGCGCGGGTAGCTGAGCCACAGGGCGTGTCTACGGAGTGTGCGCGTGGGGAGGCGCGGCGCTGACCTATCACTGTCTTCCTCGTTCCCCTCCGTCACCCAGCGTGACACAGATGGGCTGGGAAAGCCAGGCCTTTGGCCTCCAAATCTGTGACAAACCAAGAACCCAGCATTTAGATGCAAACAGCCTAGGGCACCACCGACCCCAAGAGGTGAAAGTAGACTTTGGGATTGTTACTTTCAGCCTGGGTGTGAGATTCGGAAGGGAAAAGTTAGAAAAGGAAATGCACACTGGGAATTAACACGGATTGAACGTCTTCCGAGAGGAAAACATGAATCAGTTGTTTCAAAGTCTAGAATTACCGTGCTTTCCCGAAAGTAAGACCTAAGCATTAAATAAGCCCTAGCAGGATTTCCAAATGTGGGAAGGTCGTCCAGTGGCGATGGGTGTGGGGACGTCTCCAGCAGAGCTCCCGTCACACCTGAGCAGGTAGCACCACTGCAACATGCTGCCCATGCAAGCCATTCTTTTTGTGTTTACCGTGTTTCCCCGAAAACAAGACAGGGTCTTATGTTTATGTTTCCTCAAGAAGACACCCTAGGGCTTATTTTCAGGGGATGTGTTACTGTCCCCTCAAAGCCTCAGCTCGCAGCACACACAGGATGGCGGGGACCTGACAGGGGGAGCCGGCCTTGTTGGTGGGGCTGCCCGCAGCCTTCCAGTCACCTCTGGGGTAGTCGCTGTCACGATGGGGCAGGTGAGAAGGGCTGCTCGTCTTCTTTCCCGCTCCGCGACGAGGTGCATGGGTTGTGCAGACGCGCTGTGTAGCCACGCCCGTCACTAGGGCTTATTTTTGGGGTGGGGCTTCTATTGCGCACATGCTTAGAAATCCTGCTAGGGATTTATTTTATGGGTAGGTCTTATTTTCGGCGAAACATAGTAATTCTAGACTTTGAAACAACTGATTCATGTTTTCCCCTCGGAAGACTTTCAATTCATGTTAATTCCCAGTGTCGATTTTCTTTTCTAACTTTTCCCTTCCGAATCTCACACCCAGGCTGTAAGTAAACAATCCCAAAGTCTACTTTCCGTCTTCTGCCGGGGGTGCCCTAGGCTGTTTGCACCTGATGAGCAGTTGGCCAAGGTGTTCCACTACGTTGTATGCGAAGTCGGTTTCTCACTGATAGAGTAGATGTACTGCAACTTCTGGTTGTCGGCGGCTCCTTAGCTTTAAAGTACACACACATGGATACACAAAGGACCACACGCACACGGAGAACTCCCTGCTTCTGCAGACGGTGCCTCTGACGTGGGGGTGGGCTGTGGGGCAGAGGACACAAGCTTCCCTGCCCCTCGGCATTGCCGCCCGCTGCAGGTGACACGTGTCTTTGTGGGACATGAAAGACGGGGCTCCAGCCCCGAAGAGTCCGCACCTCCGTCCGACATAAAGGAAATGGCAGCCAACAGTAGCAACCCCACCTGTGCAGATGTGACTGCTACCGAGGGCGGAAAGGCTGCCCTGCTGCGGGGACGTTGGGAGAGATTACAGGACGGGGACCCGTGTGGTGCGTGACAACCTGGGCTGCCGCTCGGAGCCGTGCAGAGGCGGTGCAGAGAGAGGCAAGTCAGCGGGGTGATGAGCTCAAGGGGCAGGCAGACAAGAGAACACAACAGTGTTGGCCGTAGCTTGGCGTGGCAACCAAACAAATTGCCCAGCAGCACATACCTCCTAAGACATTCAACCTTCAAAATGTTATTTCACATTTCCCCAAAAGACTTTGCCAACATGTCTGGCTGCTGGGACCACGGCCCATTTGTTCCAGTTTCACTGTCCTGCCAAGACATGGCCCATGGCCTAGTTTCATTGTCCCGCTAAAACATTATATGACATTGTAAAAGAAACTAGCATCCTGCGTCTGTGGTGCTCTCCTCTTTGTTACCGGGGTCCCCCAAATTTGCATTTAGCCTTTGACCAAACAAAATAAACACCCTGAGCTCCTGGGAGGGCTCACTGCTGAAGATCCCATGTCAGTTAGAGCAGATGATACGCTGCTTGATAAATATCACACAACATTCTGCACCTGTGCAACGGTGCGGTGATCGTTCTTGAGCTTCTGGAGTTACGAGCTAAGAGGAACGCTGAATGGTCAGCGACCAGGGACTAAGGCAGACAGGCAGCCTGGGCAAAACCCCATCCCAACATGTGACTCCTGTTCAAGTGCCCAGGACGGGAGTCCTGGACGTTGTGTGGGGTTGTGAGGCTTCCCTAGGGGCCTGCCCCACCCCAGACACAGACAGAACTGCTCCCTGCACTTGGAGAGTCTCATAGGATGGTGCCACTTCAATGACACCAAATGCACTGGCCACACTCAGTCAGGAAAGTGTATGAAGCGTTGACAGGATCTATTACATCTTCTTTTAGTAATGAATGCAGCAGAAATTCATTGTAGACAACATGGAAGTTATGGGGGAAAGGCCAGTCGGCATTTAAGTGTAACACACTTCCATACAGGCTTCCGCATTTTTCTGAACTGACATACCATGAGCATTGAAACTCTTTCGCCACTTGATTTTTAACGTGTGCCTTTCATTTATTAAAAGAAAGGGGAATCGACAAACACATAGTTTGTGACTGGAAATAACAGCAGCCCTAACCCGTGGTCTTCAAAGCCCTCTCCCTCTCGGTGCTGGTGACGAGCGGTTTCATGGAGGGGTCTGCGGAAGCCCAGGGCAGGAGGTCTCAGCATTGCCCCCTGCCGGAGGCCGGTCCTGGGTCCCTGGGCATCTGTGCCTTCAGGTCTGGTGGCTGTGGGACTCCCAGGTCCCCGTACGTAGGCAAGAGCTCTGAGGTGCACCTTGACCTGAGCGACAAGAAGGAGCTGGAAGGGAAGGGCAGACGCCCCTGGACTCCCCTCCTCCTCTTCTGCTCCTGCCTCCGCCCTGCGGACAGCCCGAGCCGCTGGGCTGGGGCTACACTGGGAAGCGAGGCCTGGGGGCGGTGGGGGGCAGAAACCTTGGCCTTGGTCTAGCTTCTTGCAGGACTGCGGGAACGGGCTCACGGCGGGGCTGGAGGTCTGTGCAGCCACTTGTGGGAATCTTTCCATGTCAAAAAAAAATTCATGAACTTCCTCCGCTTTTTCTTAACAGTTTATTACTGCCTGTCCCTTCTGGGAGTGATGCGTTTTTATTTCTATTGTGTTCTGCGGCTATGGAATTTTTCTCTATTTGAGTTAAAAGCACTTTTGTTGTTGTTGTTTCACTCCTCTACAGTTTGGCTCTGTTTCTGGATATCTTTGGTTTGTGCTGAGCTCCATGTTTGGCAAAGTCCCTAAGGACACAACAGGGCTCCATTTTCTTCACATCTTCACTATTTGGAGGACGCGTGAGCCCTTGTTCACACATGGTGCTTTAGTTGAGTTTGCTGGTTCCTCTGCGGGAGAATGGCCAACAACCAACAGCGCTCCACTGTCTCGTGGCTCTGAGGTTTTATTCCAGTTCAGTGCTCCTTAGCCGTTCCTTAAACTCATTGAAATGTATTTTTCTGGAGTGTATTTTCCTTTTCTTTACTAATATCTCTCTTTTAAATTCCGAGTTCAATTTCCTCACGACGCCCTCTGACACGATTTGCATACAGGCAACGCAGCCTTCTTCGAAAATCAAATGGACAGAAGATGACGTCCAAAGAATTCTCTGCCTCGTGTAATAAGAAACGGTTCCTGACACCACTCCAAGAACTTGTTTGGCGAACTGTCGTTTTCTATTTTGTATTTTGTTTCTGTTAGACTCTAGCCCAGGGGTCACCAAACTTTCTTCTGTAAAGGGCAAGATAGTCAATGTTTTAGTCTTTGTGGGCTGCATGGTTTCTGGCACAATGATTCACTTCTGCCATCTTGGTATGAAACAGCCGCAGACAGCATGTAAGTGAACAGGGTGTCTGTGTTCCAATAAAACTTTATTTATACAAACAGGCAGGCGGCCAGATTTGGCCCATAGAACTAGCTTGCTGACCCCTGTTCAAACCAATAGATGTTTATGTGAAGAACCAAAGGAAGCATTTGACTTTTTCCTGGCCTTATTGAGGTTCACAGAATCATAAAACATGAGAAACAATCAAACTCTATTATTGTATGAGTGACCTACCTGAGCATGAGCGAGGCTCAGTGAGGTCCCCGTGGCAGCGTTACGGCAGGACTCCCGTGCAGGTTTCGTCCCTCCTGGCTCGATGCGCTCAGTCACGTGTCCCTGTCTGTGATAATTCTTAGGAGTGGCTAAGAACTATCTGACTTATCATAGCTTCCATTACAACTCCTCCCCTTCCTCTTATCCTTTCTCATTTTTATCTTATCCAATAACGTCTTTCCCTTTTCCGAGTTTTGAAGGAAGTGATAATTTTCTTTGCTTTATAACATTAATAATAACTATTTATGAATTACAATATCTATTATGTTTGCTTTGGGCTTATGGGCCACCTAACCTGTACAACTTGTCTCTAATTCTCAGAATGATTCTACAAAATAGGTGGCATTAGTTTTTTTTTGGTTTTTGTTTTTCCCTAATAGGAATATCGACAGAGAACTACATTTCTACCCTCAAATCACACGGTTTTTTGCATAGCAACTTCTGCATGCTCTTTTCCATGCCCGTTGTTAGAAAATTCTTAACCAAATAGCCTAGTTTTTCAGTCCCATCCGTGACACCATCATAGCTCACTTTTCAGATTAAGTTAGCGCTGAGATCCTGAGCTCAGGGCCTTGGTTCTTGCTCCTTATTTTTCAGGTCTATAAAATCGAGCCGTGGCATGCAGCCCATATACAAGTACTGAAATGATGCTGTTGCCGTGGATATTTATGGAAAATAGATATTAGATGACAAAAGGACACCTAGGCAGCTGCTGTGTGGCGGGCGTTCATGGAGCAGCTGCAAACAGGGTGGAGTGGAAGAAACCCTCCGGGGACCGCTGAGGAACAACTTCCCGGAGCACGTGGCGTGATCGGGCACTGCTGGGACCAGCCGGCACAGAGCAATCAGGACTGGGTGGTGCTTTTAGTGCTGGAGAAGCCAGCAGACATGAATCTAAGAGATAGAAATGTCAGAAGTTACAAGCAGTACAAATAGTGGCGAGAGTTGCAGGCCAAGGAAAAGTCTTCGCCTGAATCAAAATTCCCAGCAACAGACATGCATGCACGGACTAAACTGAACAAGTTAAGCTAACAGAACAGTAACAGCAACAGGAAAATACCTTCAGGTGCATCATCACTGACCAGGAAGGACAATAGCATTACCAACACACTGGAACTATTAAGTGTCATTAGACTCGATCCTTGTCCCCCAAAGACTTACCTTCTAGCTGAGCAGGCAGGGCATGCGTCCAAGCTCCTTAGACCTCTGTGTGCATAGTTCCAAAACGACGCCTCTGCCCTGTGCCTTGGCCTAAGTGTCCATATCTAGTCTCAAGAAAGGGGTTTTCGTATTTGTTGTTTGGGTTTATTTTGTGCGGGAATTGAAGTTTGGGGATCGCTGTGGGTCTTTGCATTCTTTTGTGAGTTGGACCCCTTTCCTCTACTCCAAAGGAAGCGCGTTCTTGGCTTTTTTGAGACTGCCTTTCAGGGGAAACCTCACGCCTCCCTGGTGGAAGTCACGGGAGGTCAGGAAACAGTGCGAGCAAAGAGGAGCGGGAGCGGCGGGTGGGTTTCGGGGAAGCTGAGTCACTGTGCAGCCCGGAACGCAGGGGGTGGCTGATAGCTGCAACGTGGAGGAACGAAAACCAACATATCAGACAAGCAGCGTGCATGCCCGGCCCGAGGCGTGGGCCTGCTCATGGGGAGGCGTTGACTTGGCGCCTCGGCCCGGCCGGCTGTCCCCGGCGTGGGCTGCCGCTCAAACCAGTTATCGCCTCAGCACATGTGTTGTTAAAATCTCTTTTAGGCTTGGTAAAAACCTCTGCTTCAGTAAACAGTGACATCACTAATTGCTGCATATGACATTATTGGATTGTTTTGACTTCCTGGGGGTGAGGGTAAAGGAAAAAAAAGTTAATTACAATTATTTTTGTCTCTAACTAAGGGGAAGCCGTGTTAACATCTGCGTGCTGCTGGCCAGCAGGTTGGCAATAATCTCCAAGTATTAACCAGAGTAGAATAGAATGACCCAACGTGTGGGTGTCACTGCTTTACCTGAATTTACCCAGCAGCTAACAAAATAGGTCTCTTTCACTAAAGACCAATTTTCACATTAAAAAAAAAAATCTTTATTATGGGCCTAGTGCAGTTAAATTGCCGCCACAGTAGGGAATCTATACTTAGAGTGGTGGGATTAAGCGCTGAGAAAATGCCTCAGGTGATGTTCCAGCTGAGCCGAAATCCGGACCCCTGATCCTTCCCTTTCAAGAGAATTCCACCAGGTGGCAGGAAATGTCTCGGAGTGCCAGCGAGCACGCTGTCTCTCTGGGCCGCAGAGAAGTGGGGAGGAAGGAGGATCGCTGAGGATCACAGCACACCTCCCCGGCTCTTTCCAAACCCCCACGTGCGTCCTCAGCCCCCGGTAGCTCTTTCACAGTCCAAACATGCACAGGTAACAATACGCACTTTCTGTACACACATGGAACTTTTTATCCTGTGAATAAATGGATAGGACCAGTCGGGAAAAATAAACGACGGAGGTGGGAAGACGGCAAAGGCCAGGATGGGCGTTTCGCAAAGTTGCCAATCCACGGCACCTTGAGTTGTCCTTTTTGTAGAGAGACCTTAACGCGAAATGTTCCTGTGAGTTTAAAGGCAGGATGGCTCATATCTGCTGTCGATGCTCCGACAAGTCGAGAGACTCCACGGTGATTCTAAAGGTTTGTAAATTTCAACAAAAGCCCAAAGGGTCGATACTCAAAAACCAGGTTGAGACTTTATAGTGGAATGAAATACACTGAGATGATTTTGCTTGTTCTAATTCTGCTGCCACCCCTTAAACACCAGTCTACTATTGTATTGGCCCAGCATTGGGTGTAAGTATATACTAGAAGGGGGCGTGAGCTCAATAATTGGGCATAAGTTGCTACAGCCAGCAGTCCCGGCGGATTCCCAGCTGGGGGACGGTGGGAGAGTGGTTGGCACAGGGACAGCAGAGACAGTCCCGGGAGGACCCCGGGTATGGTTTTTGAAAAAAAAAAAAAAACTTCACAGGTGTTTTTAATGTGTCTTCCAATTAAGAGACGAGGACTTAAGGGTCTAATTTCCTTTTCTCATAAACATGGGTGGGTCCCCAAGAGCTCCATTCTAACAGGCCCTTGCCAAGAACCAAGGAAACAAGCACCCCTGTGTCGATCTTGGGGGAAGCCCAGTGTCTCTCCTAAGGTGCACCTCTTCTGTCCCGAAGAAGGAAGGCGGGTGAACCATAGTAATAACGCTTCACTCTCGGCTGCTCCTGAAGAAATGGAGAAGTGAGGTCTGTGTGCATATACATGTAATATAAAAATTGTTTTCAAACTAGACTTTGAAAAATGCAAATTCTCATATTTCAAGTAGCAAGGAAACAAGAGCAAAGTTCCAAATGCAGAGGAATTAATACTTTGTTCATTTCAACTGCAGTGTGGGGTATAGGGAGGGCAGTTAAAAGAATGAGGTCTTAAATTTATTCAGTGTGAAGCCAACAATGTTTGTGATTAAAAATATAACATAATTAGCTTTATGTGTTAGAAGTTTAAATCTGGCAGCTGTCTATAAAATGGATTAGGATGGGAGACACCGAACTGATACCCTCTATCGAGTTCTTGCCCGGACCAGGTTTTGTGACAGGCACCGACTTAACGCTCAGTAGTTTACTTTACTCTTATCACAACCTTGTGAAGTATCATCATTCCCATTTTTAATAGCAACAACAGCAAAAATTCGAGGCTCAGAGCATTTAAGTTGTCTGTCCTATTTTACAATGTAAAGGGGTGGAACAGGAAGTAGAACCCAGTTCTGTCTGACTCCAGGGTCTGTAAGCGTGATGATCGTGTTGAGTCGTTTAGAAATGCGTGCAAGGGGACAGCAGGCACTCGGGAAAGAGGTGAGGAGCTAGAAAACCATTTCTAGAGAGAATATATTTTCCTGGTAAAATGTATTAGAGCTACTTTCTATTATAAATTAAATGGGAGAAATTATGTCTGGAGCAAAAACCAAAGGAACTCCAGATTTACATAGGAACCAACATAACAGTTAATTAATCTAGCACGCGTCCTGGTATTGGAGAAAGCTACCACACATGTATACTCAAGGACGGTCCATTTCCGGTCCAACAGTTCGGTCTGGTACGTTACCGCCTGTTTTTCTTGAACTCCTGGTTATATAGTTTATGTCTGGAGAAAGTTCCACTACAATAGACTGCCAATTTTATTTAATCTACACTCTAAGAATGCTTGACAAAGGTACTGAAGAAGAAAACCTATCCAATTTACACTTACCTAATACCTCATTTTGAAATTAATGGATACTCAAGTCGTTAATTAGCGAGACACTACATTGTAGCAGAAAGAGACTGAGTGCCGGCAGAGGGTACCAGCCGTGGTCCCTCAGCTGTAGGGAGGGTGATCATACCTACTTCACCGGGCATCTCATAGGGACAAACGTAGAACATCTAGTGGAGACGTGCACGGCATTTGTCATTACTCGGTCGGTGTTAGTTTTCTTCTACCTTCAATTTTTCTCAAGTTGAGCGCACATTTCACATCTGTTCTCCGTGTGTCCTTTTAGTATCTGGAGGTAAAAGCATGACAGATGTGCGACACCTTTGTTACCTACACCCATCTGCCATTGATTCACTCCTTCCACCGAACACACACGGGCACCTCCCCTGGGCCCATCGGGGATGCAGATGCGGAGAGAAAAGGCAAGTCCAGGGGCAGAGACGACCTCACGTGTTTGCCATCGTGGCAGGAGAGCAGTGAACTGTGGGGCACACGGGGTGCCTGGCACAGCGCCCAGGCACCTGGAAGACTCTCTGTGAAAGAGGATGTCGGATTTGGGTTTCAAAGAACCCGTAGGAATTCTTCGGAAGAAGAGAGGAAAGAGGCAGATATGATGCTCCGAACAGAGAAATGTTAATCTCTAAAAAAGCACGCACTTCCTCGGACAGGAGGGGGTCGGTGACGCCCCAGGGCGCCTCTTTTCCCTGCGTTCCCCTGGGAATAGCCGTGGGCCCATCCAGGAATGCTCGCCCGTCTGCGAAGGGTCCGGAAACCAGACTCGGTTGGCCGGTCAGACCGACCGCTGCAGAAGGTAAGCGCCTTCCATTCCACTTCTTTTAACCAGGGCAACAAAACCTGTTTGGACAGACGAGGGCTACAGAATTCTCCTCTTGAACTTCGCTGTGTTCCTTTGGATTCTTCCACTACTGCCCTGACTCCCACTGGGCAGGGGGGCCTGTAGCAAAATGGACAAAATACCTACCGGGATGGCAATTGGGGTCATGTGACCAGCTCCGGCTTCACCATCCAGCACGCTTGGCTGCGTGTCACCTAGCGCACCTAAGAGAACCTTAGAGCAGGGACGAGAGTCCTTGCGCCCCCTTTAATGTCTCTGAGCGTTAAGTGGAGTGCCGGGGCGTTTGGAACCCTAAGAAAGGGTGTGATGTCACTGGGCATCTCACAGTAAATGTAATCGCCGTGGGACACTGGGGTGGGGTAAGAGAGAGGCTCTGGCATTGAAAGCTCTAGAGTTAAACTAATGCCCTTTTTGTTTCCCTTCCTGATATCACCAGACCATCCCGTAGTTCTTTTATGAGTTACAGATAGTCTGTTTCTTTATGTCACTATTTTTTGTTTAAGTATTTTTGTATTTCAGCATCCACAAATAAATTCCAGGGGCCTTTCCTTGGGTCGCTGGTAAAGTCACTGCCACCGTGTATCTGATATCCCCAAGACAGTAGGCAAAGCCGTGTTCAGGAGCAGTGCTGTACGGCAGCCCTATTTTTATTCTCTACTATGGAGTGAGTTTTTCTGGAGTAGAATTTGTGTCTTAATAATTTTCATAAGCCCTAAAATAGTCCCGTGCACATAGTAGACATTTATAAAATTCTTAAGGTTCTAAAAATGGGATATTCTAAAATTGTGTAGCCTGGCTAGAAAAATCCACGACTGCCTCTATTGCCAATTCCACTCTATCAAGGAAGAATTGGGCAGACTTCTGTCAGTATTTTTATAGGGTTGGTCTATGCAGTCAAAGCTGAGCAGATGATTGAATAAATTATCTGGTAAGTTTGGATCCAGCTAAAGAACATTCAAGTAAACAGAAGGTCCATGTAACTTGTCTTGGGATAGTTGGATTCTTATCACTTTTAGATTAGAAACATGACGTCTTCTTTCTCGAACACGCACACTTGGACACACACGCACACGCAGCTAGAAAGTGTACAGTTGATTAGCTTTCCTTTCCTGTGTCTATTGTCTTCTTGGACCTAATAATTCCCAGGGTAATTCTTCCAGTATACTTTTTAAAAGAGTCCTAAATAGTATTGAAAGTACAACACGCAGACCGAAAAGCATATTTAACACAGCAACTATCAGCTCATGTTGGATGTCTTAAGACTGTGTCTGCCAGGAAACAGGAGGTTGAAGGCTGTTTGTTTACGAAGGATAAGGCACTGTAGCCCCATTGTGGTCTTGAAGGCTGGAAAGTGCACCGATGTTTCTAGACGTCTTCAAATGGTTCATTAGGGAGACAATTTTGCCTGGAGTGAGAACAGGAATGGATTGGCCCCTTTGAAAAAGTAGTCTAGACACTGGCACATTCATTTCTAATGACGCTAATGAATCAGCTTATGCAGTTGGTTTATATCAGTAGTAATGTCAGACTGTGTGTGCCGAATACTTGTGATTCCTTTTGCCTGTCTAGTGTCTGAACCCTGTGTCATACGTTTTGATGTTGTGCAAAGACTATCTCCTCTTTAGGAGCAGAAAATTCTAGATGTTGACTTTCCAGCCTCCCTTGCACCTGGGGCTCAGGTGTGTAGCCTAGTCGCCACCGGAGAGACCCGCCCACGCCCGACTCTGACTCCAGCCCTAGCGATGGCAGAGAGGCAGCAGGAGAGGGGTGCAGGGTTGAGCCACCCGCGCAGACCCTGCCGGGCTGCTGGCCGAAGCTCGCAGGTGCAGCGCCTCCAACTGCGACGTCAGAGATGGGTTCTCCTTCACCCCGCCAGGCAGCTCGCTTGGGGAAGCGCTTCTTCAAAGGCAGACTTGAGCCTCCTCTGGTCTTCCCCGATGTTTCCCTGAGTCGCCTAATATCCTTTCAATAAATTTCCTTCTGCTTGTGCCGATCTTCTGCCTGCATCCAAGAATCCCAGCTGACCCCCTGCGCTAGACACTGAAGAAACCGGAGATTAGGAAGGCTGGCCTGGTCCTCACGCTCTGGTAGGTGCAATGGGACAAGTTCACGGACACCTTGGTGGTGAATCTGACTATTCTGTCGGCTAAGCTCACTCATTCCCGGAGAGAAAGTCGCTTGCAGTGGGCCCCTGATGAGGAAGGAAATTCTCCAATTCATCTTTTGGGGGCTTTGCAAGTTTGGCTCATTGCCCAGAAAAGAGACACCCTGCACAAGCCGCACTCTACGAGAGTGAGTGGCCAAGAAGAAAGGTGGAAGGGGGTCTTGCCTTTAGTCCAAACGTATTTGCAGCAGATCAAAGCCTGTGGCTGCCTCCGCACGGGCGTGCGTGGGGTCTACGCAGATGGTGCTCCCGGTGGGATTACGCCTCCCGGGGGACTCGAGAACCATATGGAGGAGAAAGTCCCCTGGCTGGGAGATCTGCTCCAGTATTTCCCGCTGCAAGTAGCGCTCGAGATCAAGCCTGGATTCTCAGAAGTCAGGGGATGGGTAACACTACGGTGCATTTGCCAGAGTTTTGGAGCCACTTATTCTTAGCTTCATGATTACGAAGGGCATGTGGTCGGAGCACACCCTGAGCCACGCCACTAAGGATTGTTCAGGATGTTTCCAAGGGCGCAGGTGTGCAGCTGTGGGGAGACCAGGACTGCCCGCAGCCCCCACCCCGCCCGGGCTTCTGAGCGCAGCTTCCTCCTGCATCCGGACGTTACACTTCAGGGTGGGGAACACAGTGTCTTGTCTCGCCAGCACCGGGTCTGGCAGGGGCTGACGCCCACAGAAGACCCCCCAGTGCATGCCACCCGTTGTCTTTATAAACCAATGAGGACGAGACCAGAGAACGGAAGTGGGGGCTGAGGGAGAGCCCCCCCCCACACCCTGGGGCTGACGGTTTTGAAGCTTTTCCCATCAGTGGCCCAGCCCTCGGGACACAGGCCCAGGACCCATCAGGGGAGCCTCTGAACACCCCTCAGACGTGCCTGTGCGTGTCGTAGGAGGGGAGCGCTGGGATCCGCCAGGGCGCCTGCTCGGAGGTGCCATGCCGGGTCTGCGCAGACGTGTGAGCTGGGAATCGGCACGAGGGGACAGGCAGCTGCGCAGGAGTGTGGCAGTGCCGGGCCCCGCCCAGGCGGAGCCACCACGAAAGCTGACGGACGTGCCTTCGTGTGGACGAATGACTTCCCAAGCCTTCCAAGCCGAAGAGGGGACACCTGCCGGCAGGACGCCTGGTGCTCCTTCCTCCCTGCTGCGTGCCCGTCCGGAGGGGAAACGGGCAGCAGAGGTCGGGAGGAGGAGCACGGCCTGCCCCAGGGGTGCACGGAGCGCCGCTTCTCTCCTCATCTGGACCCCCGGGTTCTGGCTGCCAGCCCTCCTGTTTCCACGTGTGTGGAGTTCTTTGGGGTACATCTCTCTGGGGTTGACAAGCCCAGGAACTGTGAGAAGGGAGAGCCCACCGAAGGCATGGCCGGCCCCCGTGAGGAGGAGAAAGGGCCGCCCCTCCCCGAGCCCCGCGTGCACCATTTCTGCCCTCGGCCTAAGAAGCCTGTTTCGCAGATTGCAAGCGCAAACGCAGAAAAATCCAAGTGTGTTTGTGTTCGAGAGAGAAGAGAGTGACAGGAATCACCCAGGTGCAACCTCTTTGCACTTTAGGGAGCCTCGTGAAATGGAAGAAAACGTGCTGGCCCGGGGGGTGAGCCGGGTGTGGGAGGCTCGGGTCTCTCGCTGCTCCCACGCGGCGGGAGCCGTTCTTCTCCCTGCCCACGCGAGGAGGCGCTTGCGGACGGCGCAGCCTGGGCCTTCTGCACCAGGGCTCGCAAGGGTTTAGAGCCCTGGCTTCCGACCGCCAGGCAGAGGGTCCCAGAACACTGGGGGAGCATCTGGGGCCAGCACGTGCTGGCGGCGGGAAGAGGGACGCAGGCGAGAGAGAGAGCGAAGGTAGGATGGAGAGGGTTTGGGGAAGTGCGGGCGTCTGGGTCCTACTCTGTCCAGCAAAGCAGATATTTCCCTCCGCGGCATTTGACATTTGGAATTTCTAGAACGTTGGCATCAACGGAAGCATTGGGTATTGCCTCGATTCTCCCACAAAACCAGATTTAGGGCTAGAAAAGAGAAGTACGTGTTTACGGCATAAACGTGTTTTAAACACATCATGGCAGGTATTAGACAAGGTCAGCAATATTAGCGGGCCGTCTTCATGCGGGCTGGACCCAGTCCAGAATCGCAGCTTTAAATGCCAGTTGCAAATATTCTTGCTGAATCCAGACCAGACAGAGGTGATAGATTCTCACCCAGTTAGAAAGCAATTACCCCCACAGCTTTGGGCCAAAAGATTGGATATTTGAGACTCTGAAATGATCACCCTGCAAAGGATCATAATGTGGGTAATTAAAAATAGATTATTGGATCAAGATTTTCATCACTTTTGAAGACCTCACTTTTCCTTGTCGTATGTAGTTTTCGTGTTTTGTGGGTTTTTTCCCCTTATTTTTTCCTTTCTCTGAGGGATCATAATTGAACGCATTTTGAAACTATAAATTGTAATTTTGCTGTCAGAGGTAGAACTTTAATCTCAGATGTTTATTAGAAAATTTCTCTGCACTGACTGTGAATTCAGCTAATAAGAATCAAGTGAATGGACTTGTAACAAAATCATGAAATACCTTCCTATGGCTTGGTGACTGCTCTCTGTCAGGGGTTGCTGCAGTCGGCTTTGTTCACAACAAACATCATATTTTAATGTATAGGAATTTAATGATAATTACAATAAACACCAATGCATTAATGCTCATATTGGCTATTCTCCAGAAAAGAGAGATGGTCTGAAATACAGTAGTTTATATATATATATATGTAATTGGGACAAAAGAAATGGGAAGTTGAGTCATTTCTCAATGAATTTGATCGATGTAAATAATTTATCTGGATACTTATACTGCTACACCCTACCTGCTCCTTACAATATAGGCCATGTTTTCCTTAAATGGATTTCCTCCCAGCTCTCCAGATCACAGGGGACCCACAGGCCCAGGCTTGGGGAGCAGGCACAGCCCACGCCCCACCTGGCCCAAATCCACCCCAACTTGCTGCGGGTACTTGGATGCCCTCAATCTCTCTGGGCTTCAGTTTCCCTGTTCTGAAAAATTCAGAGATTGGACCAGACAGATTTTACAATTCTTCTGATCTAATTTGCTTCCATTCATTGTTTCCATAAAGAGGAA